TGAACTTTACCAAGAAATTTAACCTCAGAACTATTATTTACAACATTATCATTTAATAAAGATGTAAGGGCATAAAAGCGCAATATTTCGACGAAACGTTTCGATAAAATAAATATTGATATACGCTACACCACTGCTATGAAGTACAGATGTTACAATCGATTATCCATAAATAATGGCCAAAGTATCGGCGACCATAAAACTGTCTTTATATCCTTAAAATATCGATAATCCTGATAAATCGAGAGAGTTACTCTGTAACTTTAAGCGCCTCTAAATTTGCTTTAAGATAGATGTTAATAGGGAATAAAGAAACTATACTTTCGCAAAAATAAATTTATAAATCATTTTCATGATTTTCTCTCATAAACTATTGGTTCATGTTATGTTTAGGAAACAAGACTATACATTTTGAATACAATTTAACATGATTATAAATTTAATTCAAGAACATAAAGATTAAGAAGAAAGATAAAAGAATTGTCAAATAAAACTTTTACAGTAAAATTTTGACTACCACGAAGGTATCCACTTTATATTATAACAAATATTTTAATACTTGAATAGATAAAAATAGTTCAAAATAAAATTATTATTAATTTGTAGCATATACGAAATTCGATAAAAAAATATAATGTAAATCAAACATTTTCAATTAAACATAACCTAATATTGAAATCAAAGAAAAACTTGTAAATCATATCATTATTACAATGAGATTAAATGTACAAACCTTTTAAATTACTCTTATTTGAGTAGTTGCAATTGTTTTTAAATAATTCGATTATTCGAAGTGAATCACGTAAATACACGAAACAAATAGAAACTCATTTTCCATTGCCACTTCAATTTTTAAATTCACTCTGCGTCTGCGCATTGATTGCGTTTGAATGAATAATGCGTCGATATATATGTGTCGGTAATAAAGCTTGCAGGATTTTCTATTCACTTTGAATGTTCATTTTTTGTTCACTCGTATATCATAAAACTGTCCCTGCAATTGTTTTGAATGATTAAATATCAAAAATCATCAATTGTTCCTATCACCTACATAAAATTTCGAAGATACAAGATACGTATTACAAAATACAAGATACATATGTAATATATATAATACTTACCTACATGTATTCATACATCAATCTAGATATACAGTATTCGTATTTGTAACGTAATATAAATTTCCAGAATCAAATTATGTATTCAAAATATAAATGTCAGTAAATTAATCATTTCGAGACGCAGAAACGTTCATCTAGTCGCACGAACGTAATCGCTACTAAACTGTAGTAACAATTACTTCCACCAGAGTCGTTAGTGTCGCTGGCGCGCTGAAACGTTGAAGTTGAGTTCGAATCGTGACAGTAACAATATTTCTCAGTTATTATTCATTTTTAATAAGAAACACTATATTAATTGTATTACTGTGCATTATTATAACATTAAACGTATTATAACGTTATTACGTATTACAACGATGTATTATAACGATTGTTAATACATACGTAAAAGATAACCTGTCACACGTTTAATAGACCGTTTAATCGATTCATTTAACAGACGAGTGATACGATAACATTTTATTGTCAATAACGTTTTCATTATTCAGCAGTATTTCATTATACAGTGGTATTTTTTTTTTTTTTTT